GTGTCATATAATAAATCTTTATTCAAAACTTATTATAAAGTAGATGGAGATCAAGAGACTCAAATGTGTAATAAGGCCACTTCAAAGTGAATGAAAAAGAAAATGTAGAGATTATCTTCACTTTCTGCAAGATCGTTATCTTAACAAATATACTACATGTTCCTGATATGAAGAAGAACTTCATTAGTGGTAATCACTTAGGAAAATTGGGCATAAAAATGTTTACGTGTCCGGTAAACTTGTTCTATCCCTAAATGAAAAATTTGTTAGAAAAGACTATTCTAGTGAAGAAATTGTCAAGTTTTGTACCGTTGAAAAGTTGATTAATAATAAAGTTGAATTTGCTTATTTGAGTGATTCATTTACTTCATGCATGCTAGATTAGGTCATATAGGTAAGAATAGCATGAAACGAATGTTAAAATGCGACCAAATATCTTATAAAGAAAATGATGAATATAAATATAAAACTTGTGTAGAATCTAAAATGATAAAGAAACCATATCAAAGTGTGAATAGGACTCCTAAATTTGTAGAATTAATTAATAATGACTTATGTGAATCAAATGTGTGTTAACTAGATGTGGAAATAGGTATTTCATTTACTTTACAGATAATCACTCTACATACACTTATGTTTATTTAATAAAATATAAACATTAAGCTTTTGATATGCTTAAAACATATAAAAATGAAGTTAAAAATCACTTAAGTAAGAAAAAAAACTCTAAGAAGTGATAGAAGATGTGAATATTTTTTAGTAATTTTAATTCATTTTGTGAACAACAAGATATACTACATCAATGTTAGACACTCAAACAAAATGGTTTGACTAAAAGAAAAATAGAACATTAGTTAAAATGATAAATGTTATGTTAATTCATGCTAAGTTGTCATTTAATTTATGGTATAAAACATTGTTGAGTGCATGTAAAATATTAAATAGGATTCCTTCCAAATTTACAAAGATTTTTCTTTATGAATTGTGGAAATGAAGAAAATAAAATATTGGATACTTCAAAGTGTATGAGTGTTTTACATATTGTAAGAACATGAATTCTAATACGACCAAGTTGGGTCCAAGAGGTATCCAATTTGTTTTTGTTGGTTATCTAATAATAGCATATCATATAGATTATTAATTTTGAAGACCAATGTAATAATTGAATCTAATAACATTGAGTTATTTGATAATGTACTATAATTGGATAATGAATTTAAGAGAAACTCATAAAGAGATCACAAGCCCTAGTGGAATAAAAATGAAAAATCTTCTAAACACAATTATAAATCTAGTAAATCTCAAGGAAGTAAAAGAATTCGAATTGAGAATTATAATTCCTTTTGTTCTACAAATGAAAACAGATCTTAAAACTTATAGAAAAGTTATGGCTTCTCGTGATACCATCATTTGGAAATATACAATTAAAGATAAAATGGATTAAGTTATGTCAAACAATACATGAGAACTTTTCAACTTATCACTCAGATCCAAACTATTGGATGTAAATGAGTGTTTAGGAAAAAAATACAATGTTGATGGTTCTCTTAATATTTTTAAAGTTAGATTAATAGTTAAAGGTTATTGACAAAAGGAATGAATATATTATTTTGATATTTATGTACCTGTAGCTAGAATAATATCAATTAGCATATTATTTGCATTTAGCTCTATACACAATTTGCATGTTCATCAAATAGATATCAAGATAGCATTCTTAAATAGGAATCCCGATGAGAAGGTTTATATGAAACAATTTCAAGGATTTGCTCTACCTGAAAATGAATACAAAGTGTGCAAGTTGGCAAAATCATTATATGGTTTAAAGCAAGCACCTAAAAAATTGCATGAGAAATTTGACTTAACTATTAATTCAGCTTCATAAATAATAGTGTTGATAGATGCTTATATTCTAAAATTTGTGATGAATATATAATATTTATCTGTTTGTATATTGATAATGTGTTGATTGTAAGTAATCACATGGATGAACAAAGTGGTTTCTATGTTCAAGATGAAAGATCTTAGACAAATGGATACCATATTGTGTATTTATGTTACAAAAACTAGTGGATTTTTTTTTTTATTTTTTTAGTCAAACACATTATTTTGAGAATGTAATTAATAAGTTCAAACATATTTGAACTAAAAGAATTTAATACTCCTCTTGATCCAAATTTAAAAATTATAAAGAATGATGAAAAATAAATTGCTCAACTGGAGTATGCAAGTGTTGAAGGGAATTTAATGTATTCAGTTCAATGCACAAGATTAGAGATAGCATTTGCAATTAGTAAAATTAGTAGGTTTAATAGTAGTCAGGGCAATGAACATTAGAAGGCCATTGAAAGAGTTCTTGGTTATTTAATGAAAAACAAGAATTTAGGTCTGTAATATACTAATTTCCCAATTATATTAGAAGGATTTTCCGATGCTAGTTAAATATCTAGTATAGGTTGGAGGAAATCTACTTAAGGATTGCGTATTTACTCTAGGATGAGGTGCTATTTCTTGAAAATCAAAGAAACATGAGTGTATAACACACATAACTATAGAATCTGAATTTGTAGCATTATCAGATACCGAGAAAGAAGTTGGGTGGACTAAGGATTTACTTTATGAGATACATTCGAAGTCGAAGAATACATCTTAAATGTCTATCATGTGTGATAGTCAAATCACATTAGCAAAGGCGCACAACGGGTATACAATAGTATACAACATAAAGTCTAGACATATGAGTCTAAAATATGATTACATAAGGAAATTAATCAAGAGTGAAATAATTTACGTAAATTATGTTAAGTCAATAAAAAAAAAACTTAGCGGATCCTTTAAATAAACATCTAAATAGAGATTTAATAATATCTACTTCAAGTAAAATGTGGTTGAAACTCTTAAACTAAAAAAATTCATCAATGATGGCAATTCTACTTGTCATTACTTAACAAGTAATTCACAGGTTCAAAGGAAAATAACAAGTCATTCGATATTTAAATAGTTTCAACATTATAAAATCCGTGATAACCTTTCCTAATTATATAATGTTGGTTGTTACTCAAGGGGGGTTGAGTTTCAAAGCTCTTAATGAAATTCTGTGCCAAGTATAAGTATCTCTAAAAAGTAGAAAAAATGTTGGAAGAACTTCATTTAACTGAACTTAGATGTGATGTTGCCTCAATAGAGAATTAGAGTTTCTCTCTTAAAAATTTGTTGAAGAGGACAAGCGTAAGGCCATATTAGCTAAGCGAGTTGAGGAACTTGAAAACACTTGATACTTTGTGTATATATTCTTATCGGTATTGTCATATGGAATAATTGGTTCAAAACTTTCATACTACCTTTAATTTCGACTTTACTTTGTTTGAATTACACTGTGGTTAGATTCAAATCAAAAAATATATAATCCTTATGCACAAATGTTGCTAGTTTGAATATGTGATCTATATAATTTTGAACAAGTGAGAATTGTTATATTGTTCAAAATTTTGTGGTCCTCTAATCGAGCCAATTGCATGATGAAATGGAATGAATTAAATGGGTGGAAGACACACGGGCCTTTTTGTAGTGTATATGCATGGCTTGTTTTTGCAAAAACTAAGGCTAAAATGTTTCTACCATAGGTACGTATGGATTATATACTATGTGCACAATAGGGTTGAAAACAGTCGTTGGATGGTTTTTCAACTCAAAACTTAGTATCTTTTTGGATTAAAATTTGCCTCTTTTTATCATGTTTTGACATCGTTTCATGTAATATTGATTGAGATCTATAAATAGGTGATTAATGACCAATACAACACATATTAAAATCTCTTGAGATCAAATTCCATTCCACAAGAAAAAGATTAAAAACTCTTTTCTTTCATATTCAAAATTCCATTTTTGTATTCTTGATGCTAACCATTATGTGTTTAAGCCTTTTATCTTGAAGTTCTTGATTCTATTATTTTGTTTCTTCTCCTTTCCTCTTATTTGGAAATATTATTTCAACAAACATCGTTTCTGCCCACTTTCCACCCATTTTTTAATTTGCCACACACATCATAACACGCTTCAAATCAATTAAACATGCCAAAAAGTTTCAACGATGCATAGTCTGAAACCATTACTCTAATAGTACACATTCTAAAGAACAACTTAACAGACTGATCAATCAAATCAAAACTATAGTTGTAACGATCCAGTCCAATTAGTACCATGATTCAACTTTAGTTTTTTTTAAGGAAAGATCATGTGTTCGAATCCTGGTAAGGCACTAAAAATTCGTTATGAGGTAAGATGAGTTAGGCTCTTCCATGGCGTATAGTACATAAATTAACGGTTTGGGCATAAAGGTTAGATTGTCAAAAAAATGGAGCATTTTTTTTCCTTAAATAACAAACCATCTATTCTTTTCCTTTTTGTCTAGAGAAGGATAGAAGTTCCACCCAAATTGAACCGAACCGGTTCGATTATTTTTAAATTCAATTGAATAATTTTAATATCAGATCAAATCAAAGCATCAAAGCTCCTTTAAATATATATATAATTTAACCTGCCAAATTATTTCGATTTTTTTCTCAAAAGGAAATTTGTCTATTTTTTACTGTTATTATCTAGCTTTTGATGCGTGTTTTGTAAATTGGGACCATGTTTGTTATTTTGTTAGACAAAACCGATATTTTATTAATTTATTTTGTTGTTTCAAAAATAGGAGAATGAAAATAGTTATTAGAATCATGAAAGCTTTTAAAACTAAAAAATCAACTTACAATTACAATATTTACTTATAAGTAAAATATACTAGCTTAAAATTTTAAGTTAAAGATTAACTTATAATTAAAAAAATTATTTAAAAGTAAACTCTTATGAGTAAAAAAGTCAATAGAAATTTAAAATTTCACTAAAGAGCATTTATGTAATTTTATTTTATTTTTTTCAAAGTTTTAGAACTAGCAGATAATAAGCACGAATTTGACTGTTTTCAAAATCAATACTAAAATCACTCAAAATCGATCTTCGCTCAAAACCTCTACTTTAATAAATGTCCAAGCAAGATCATATTGTCGTTCTTTGCTCTGTCATTGATACATTACAATGCAGTGATTCAAGTCTCAAAAGGACCACAACTACAATTTCCCCCTCTCCAAAGAAACAATAAGAAAATATCAATTGAGTCAATGAGAACTAAAGATAAATCAATCAAAGAAATGGAGCTCTGTAGCAAGTCTAGTTTGCCGTATAGAAAATACTTCAGCAGCATGGGCAACCTAGTCCTGTTCGAGTTTCCTCAACGGCTCCAGCCACCTTAAAATACAAACCTGACACACAGAGAAAGCAAAAGCAACAGAAACAAGTGGATTTAGTCACCCTAGCAGACTATAAGCAATGGGTTTTCTACGGCCAAGGTCGCTAATTCAAGCACGTTTCTCCAAAGAAAATGGAAAATCCCTTGCAATAACGGTTAGTTCCAAAATAACAAGATGAAAATCCCTTAACTTAAATCTAATATATATTGTGTATCCGGATTCAAGTCATAAGATTTTATAAAGTTATCTATTGGTTGTCAACTTACCACAAGCCGCCTCCTTCATCTAGTCTCGAGACTGGCTATGAGAAAAACATGGGCGGACTAACTTAAAACTGCACGCTCTCTATTTTTACATCTAAAAATGCACAAGTTTTTTGAAGGTCTCACACCCCCACAAAGACAAACTACGTAAACTTGCATTCACAAAACCAAGCACAGGCATCATGGACGAAGTCTCCGATGGCAAGCGAACCGCACGTGATTTCTATTCTAATCTATCTTGTTCGGTTGTTTTGAACTTAGCATATAGTTGTGTATATTTTTTGGTACAGATAAGCTGGGACATCAGTTGAGCTGCGGAATTTTCTTTAGTTCAGCTTTATTAACATACACTCGGCACCAAACTAATAAAGAAAATTGTAAAGTTACTATACCTGTAATACTGGTCCAGCTAATATATCTCGTCGTCAGGGATGTCTGGAGTCAAAAACCTTTTAGGGTCCTTACTGATCTCCTCGTAATTGAATGTAGAGGCCTTGACCTTTTCAGGAACAGGCACAAGTGGAATTATGCTATCTCCATCGATAACTCCATCAATTATGCCATATTCAACGGCCTCAATAGGGGACATGTAACGATCTCTATCAATATCTTTTTCAACTTGTTCAAGTGACCGACCAGTGAACTCAGATATAAGTCTTGTGACATTCTTCTTATTGTGCATAACTTCCTGAGCTTGAATTTCCACATCTATTGCTTGGCCACTAGCACCCCCCAGTGGTTGATGTATCATGACTCGTGTATTGGGCATTGCAAAGCGCTTGCCCTTTGTGCCACCACCAAGAATTATAGAAGCAGTTGATGCGGAAATACCCAGTGCGACGGTGGAGACATCAGCCCTTACAAGCCGTACAACATCAAAGATGGCCATTGTAGCACTGGTAAAAGATAGAAACAGCATATATGAATTGAGAATCTAGAAAAGCATGCAACTAAGCAAACTAATTCAAAATCAGTAAACTAGAAGAATGAAACTCAGTAAGGGGTACAACATGAAAAAAGCAGACGTAAACACATCACATTGAAACCAGGCTCGGTTTGCATGTCTTAGCCCACGTAAGATTAAAAACGAAATTTTAAGCTCCGACCAATGGGTACAAGTTTAATTACTGAAGATTGCAAAGAAAAATTGAAAACTCATCTAAAAGTATTTCAGCCAAGTTCACTCGCTCAATCTCTTGTTCCCTGAACTAAATCTAGACAAAATTTACTAATTTAAAAGTCTACAACACGCAGAAAAATTGTATTGTTTTTTCCTTTTTCTTTTCTAACCAAACTGAACCGATGTCAGAGATATTAGCATCAACATTACACGCATACAGAAAATACCATGATTGTGGAAGGATTAAAAGGAACCTTCCACCACTTTGCCATGTAATACAGATGATATCCATCTTTAACACGCTCTTTCATCTATGCTTCACAAAAAGTATGTTTGCATTTGCACAACATTTGATTTTATTGTTTGAGAAGCAATTTCACATTTGATTTTATTGTTTGAGAAGCAATTTCATCTTCAACGTCTTTTAGAATTTAGATCCTAAATGTAAGAAGATTTTAGTTAAAGAACCATGAAGGTATATAACAATCTGAAATCTTAGCCTCCATTTGGCAAATTTAAAGATCACTTATAAATTTGTCAAACTTTATTTTCAACTAAACATTCCAATCGACCCACATGTACTATCCACTTATCTACCACTCATCTCTATATATTTATAAATTCTTCCCAAATGGAGGCCTGAATGAACAATGGATAATCTTGAGACAATACATTGAGCAGTGGTATCCCCAAGGTAGGCCTCTCTCATAAAGCTCCAGAAATCTGATGATACATTACGAAATTGTAGTACATAATCTGCACGTTTCTTGTTTCTCATAGACACTAAGCATCCATTGTTGGTCCCAGCTTTTTTATTTAAAACTTCTCTCTTTAACTCACTTGCCATTCAATAATTTGTATGATGCTGCCCACTTCCACTTACTGACACAATGGTTGGGATGAATTTCACAGCCTGAGAAACTACATTAAATTTTACATTGTCATTCCATCTAGTACAGAATTTGCATCCAAAACATGAATTTGCATTTGGCATTAACTGATACCATCTTTAGACAACCATAGATAATATCACGATAAGAAAGGTACCAATTTGAAAGTATCAACGATACAAGGTAAACACGTTGGAAAATATTATGTATGTGCAAAAATGCCATGTTTCTACACTGTTGCAAAATCATACTAGTATAACAAACCATTTGACGTTAAATCATAAAAACTTAATTTGACTCCCATACTCGTGTTCAAAATTAATATGTTAAGATTTCTTAAAAGTGAGAAGGAATTCTATCCCTATTAGTTTCTCTATTTTGGTCATCATTTTGATTCCGGACGCAGGATTTGATTAGTGTCATAGAACTTGGAAAAGCCTTACCCTAAAGCTAGCCATTGAGGTTGGAGAATCCAAGCCTATATAAACCACACAAAGCAAGCTCATACTTCTGACGTGGGATTCAGGTGCCCATACACCCCCAATGAGAACAATGACAATTATATTTCTATTTTCCAAGGCCGCAATACTAAAAATCAGGATTTAGCATCCAGCAAACAAAAACAATGCCACACACATCAATCACAGCAACATTAAAGAATAAATTCATCAAATGAAACGAAATTTACATATATATTTGTGAGCAAGTATAAATACCTTAGGGAGCCACCTGGGGAATTAATAAACAGTCGAATATCCTTAGTAGGGTCCTGAGCGTCGAGCATAAGCAGCTGACTGATAATAGCATCAGCTACAAAATCATCAATGTTGTTCCCCAAAAAGACAATTCTTTCCTTCAGTAATAAGCCCATGGCGTCGCCCTCAGCACCTCGTATCGCGGTAGCAGGAGTCTGCGGGGCGGAGGCAGAGAGGTGGAGAAATAGGGAATATGGAGATGGCATTTTGGGATTGTGGGTTGTGGAGGTGTTTGGTTGGTAGAAAGAATTGAGGGAGCATTTTAGGGATTTGGAAGGGTGGAGGAAAAGGATTGGTTTTGGGGCTTGTTTAAAGAGAAAGGAACGATTTTGGGGAAGTGAGAAATTAGTGTAGGGTGAAGTGGAGAGGAGGAGTGAATCCATACCGGTAGCGGTAGCTGTGGCTGTGGCACGGCGGTTGAGATGGCGGTGGAGAGATAAGGCGGGGAGCGGGGCCTAGGTGACCTTAAAACCTCCTGGGCTCATCCTAATTGAGGAAATTGTTGGAAATAACAGGATAATCATCCCTATTTTCATAGTGGCCTTTGACCCCTTTTTAATTAAAAAAAATCGAATTTAAAGCTTAAAATCTCAAAATATCCCTCGACTTCGCATAAAACTGAATCTCATAAAATTGAAAAAATTAAGGTCGATTTCCAATCGATCGGAGAACTTGCTAGTCCATCGCCGACGAACTACTTTTTGTTAAGATAACCATTATTTTGTTGGATTAATGTTTAGATTTTGATTAAAGGTGTGAATGATTCTTTTGTGGGAGATTTTTTCAATATATTTTTGTTTATATAAGTAAAATAGGGTTTATGTATTATAAAAAAAATGGTTGGTTTTTTGAATTGGGAAGCTTTTTTTGCCGGAAATTGTGATTTTTCGGCGAGAAACGTTGAAGAAGGCCGGCTGCCCTAGCAGCTGTCATTTTTAATTTTTACCCGATTGTTAACGGTCGGGTAACAGTCGGTATGCAGTCGGCCCAAACACATTTTTTTCTTGCCCAATTTTTTTTCACATATAATTTAATAATTTAATTTTAAATAATTTTTAATAAATAATAAATTATTTAGTTTGTCGAATTTAAATAAAATTGTTACGACTAAATTTAAATAAAATTTTTACATTTAATTTTTGTTTTAATAGTTATTTTTATTTTTTCATTTTTGGTAAATAATAATTTGAAATAATTGTTGGGAATTTTTTAATTGTAATTTGAAATAATTGTTGAAAATTTAATTTGAAATTTAATATTTATTTTTATTTTTATTATTAGTTTTTGATAAATAAGATTATTTTCGTTCATCGAATTTAATTATTTTTTGAACTTGAATTGATTAAAAAAATTGTGATAATTGGAAAAAAATTGACATTATTGATAATAGGATAAAAACATTATTGATGATTTTAATTATTATGAACCTACGACTTGCGTATTGTAGTTATAATTTCATTCGCTAAATTTTCTGTTATTACTATTATCATTTGTACAATGTTCTAACATTTTGAATTTTTACAAGATGGATTATCATTTTGACGCAGAGTTGAGACAAATGTCAGGCAAAGCTACGTGGAATAATAGCTTTGATAGTTTCACAGCTGTGTTAGAGCTGCTTGATGATCAGCATGCTAATATGCTGCGCCAATCCTTCCCGTAGTCCTTATACCCGTTGAGAGATCTGCAATACTCGGGTCAGATTATTGATGCACTTCTATGTCGATTGTTGAGTCTAGTCGACAGTGATGCCATCCACTTCGCAATCGAAGGTAAAATCACCAGTTTTTCGATATTCGAGTTTGCTCTGATCACAGGATTAAAGATTACGGGCGATGAAACAGCTAGTGATGAGACTCAGAGAAGACATAGGCTTCATGACGCTTACTTCGAGGGACACGAAACTGTGCTTCTTACACAGCCGTTGGACGCAATCAGGAGGTGTGATCAGATATTAAACAGATTGAAGTTAGGTCTGATCTACATCCTTGAGAGCGTGGTGGGTGTCACCATAAGAAGACTGCGATCGATCTCTTCCATCTGGAGATCGTTGACGACATCAATCGTTTCAACGATCATCCGTGGGGCCGGAGATGTTTTGAGAACACTGTACACGTCTCCACCAGATTACACTCGAAGTCGAAAGGAGCCATGCGTAAGTACAACACCTATGGATTGCCCCTGACGGTGCAGGTAAATGGTTAACATAATGAATGTTAAAATTATTTTCATATTGAATTTATATATAATAATTGTATATGTTGCAGATCTGGGTGTATGAGACCGTCCCCATATTGGGTGCCCGCTTTGCGAGGCGAGGGGAGACATGCTGCCCTCGGATGCACCATTGGAGAGCATCTCGATCGGAGGGATGTCCCACTCGAAAACAGTTATCGGCTATCCTCGACGACCCTCAGATGAGTATTATTCATTTGTAATTTATATTGTGCGTGATTTAATATCTGATTGCATGATCGCTAACTAGTTCAAATGTTAATATGTCAGCTTGAAGTCATAATTGAGTTGACGCTGTCGATGGGAGAGGAGGCTCAGGGTCTTGTGCGTGAATTAGACGTTTCGCACACCCAAGACGACCAGATGTGCGATACGATCCACGACCGAGATTGGGTGAGCAAATTGAATAAAATCTATTGATTACCGTTTTATATGAGTTAGCAATTATGGATTAAGTTAATAATTTGTAATGTTGTTGCTTGTGTAGGAGCGTGATCCAATTGATCGAGGATCACCTCCGTCGAGGGCATCGCCACCTCTGCTGAGGCCATTTCATCCTCCGTCGGAGATGCCGTCGAGGGCATCTCCTTTCCCGTAGATCTCCCGTACATAGTCAGGGGCACTATTTTGATGATTTGTACACCCGTCTAAGCAGATTTATAGCGGGCAGGTCGACGGGCTACGTCGAGAGATGATAGAGAGGGTTGATGATCTGGGACGACAGTTGGTATTAAGGGTCGAAGATTTGTCGAATGAGATTGTAGCACTTTGAGGTGATATAGTCGGTAGGCGATAGGTTGATGAAGACAGTGATCGAGGGGTGATCGAGAGGGTGATAGGGATGGGGGTGAGAGAGATGGGGGTCTTCGACAGTCATACATACATGATGATGAAGCATGTGAATTGTTTATTTTATCCGTGGAGCGCGATAAGACGGGAGTAGTAGCAGAGGATGGGGGGCCCGTCGGGGAGGGAAATGGCGGCAGATGAGACTGTGGCAGATGTGGGAGTGACAGATGAGGGAGTGGGCCCATCGAGGAGGGAGACGGTAGCAGATGAGGGGATGGAGGAGGTGGCGAGCCCTGGGGTAGAGGAGGTGGCGAGCCATGGGGTAGAGGAGGTAGCGGTGTGTAAGGTAAAAAAGCGTGCTGTCGACATGCCGGAGACGGTGGTTGGCAAGAGGCGGAGAGTGCCGTCACAATACGTCGTCTCTCCCTTCACGGCTGAGGCGAAGAGGAGGAGGTTCGTCGATGGAACATACCCCAATCTGTTCCGGGAGGTCGACCATACTAAGTGGAAAGTATTCGAGGCTGAGTGGCGAAGAATGTTGCCCGGGTAAGTATTGTATGATTTAGTAGACTACCAAAACTCGTATATGCTTTGTTTAACGTTTTTTCTATTTAATTTCCAAAGCCACGCACATGATAGCCGGAAGGATGATATTGGACGCATACAAGTGGTTCCATGATATCACCACTCAAGGGGCTTGGCTCGCCGACAATGTAAGTGAAGTGTTATTGTTACTTTTTGTATACATTATGTTTAATTTGGTAAATGAAATAAGTATTTATGTCTTTGTTTTCCTTGATGTAGCACATCGACATGGCCATGGACTTGTTGCGCGATCGAGTTGAAAGATATCCACAATCATTCCACAAGCCTGGCCGCATAATACTGAACACCGAGTTCTTCCGTGCCGTTACCATTGAGTATTAGTTGCTCCAACTTCTAGGTAACGAGTAAGTGCTTCCCGCGTATATGCTCGAGTGGGTCATCGGGCTGTCACCGAGTATTGGGGGAAAGCCATGGGAGGGTTGTACGCATTTGTACATTCCAGTTATCACGAATCAGCACTGCATTGCATTGGAGATCATGTTCCCTGATTGGACGATATATGTGTACGACCCCAATCATTCATGTCTGACACAGGGACAGCTCGAGCAGAACTTATAGCCGGTGACTGTGATCGTTCCTATGATGGCTAGACACGCGGGCTTGACTGTGGATGACAAACTAGCCATCGTGCGAGACACAACAACGGCGAGACAGTCTATATCGTAAGTCTTTGTAATCATTTTTTTTTAATTTAGTAATCAGTTCGTACGTAATTGAAACCGAACTAACACATATTTGTTCATTTGCAGGGACGACTATGGGATTTTCGCAATCAAATGCATAGAATTTTTTAGTATAGCACATAAGGTTGATGGAATCAACCAGTCATAGATACAGAATTGGCGAAATAAGTTAGCGCGTAATTTATACGAATTTAATTGTGATCCATAAATTATTTGTAAATATTTTTTGTGATTATTTGTAACTATTTTTCGCAATTGTTTGTAATTATTCATGTAAATACTATTTATTTCAATAAAAATACTATTCATTTCAATGGAAATACACAATACTCTAACTGTCATTTAGGGAACCTGACTTGTACAAAATTGACGAGTATATCCTACTGATTTGCACCTGCTACACCTACACGGTCGGGAAAACTCTCCAGTAGATGGTATTCTAGAAGTACTTGGATGTCCAGGACCACGTGGTTCAATGAGAGGTGGCGACAATGTATTGAATGGGCGAATATGATCGGAAACTTCCCACTTGGCTTCGTTTGGAAGCGAAAATATGGTTTCAACATACGCAGCTCTCCAGTTTTCAGCAGTGTAATAAGTAGAGCACAATGTTCTCGCTGTAAATTCTCGATACATAGCCATTGCAACTGCATGCTCACATGGAAAACTCTCTAACTAAAATTGTTTACAAGTGCATGTTCCATCACTTAAATCTACCATGTATGTCGCGTGACGTAGACATTCCACAGAGAAGCGCGACTCGTCTAGTGGTTCGACATTTAACTTTCTCGTGGCCTCTGCAGCCTTGAAGAGCTTTACCTTTTGTGCTGGGGCTAGCACGCTTATGCAATTATGTGATCCCGCACGTCGATTGTGAAACCACTGTTGTAGCTTCGTACGGATATTCTCAATCAGTACGAGAATGGATAACTCTTGATTTCTCTTAAATAATGCATTGAGAGATTCCACATTGTTTGACGTCATCATATTGTATCGACATCCTGAAAAATATGAGCGCGCCCAATGTTCAATCCCCATTTTCGTTAGATAGTCCCATCCCGAGAATGATTTGCTTCCTATTTCAACCATGTATCTATTACACTCTTCAATATTGTAAGCTTTGGTCACTCTCCTAAACAATGAAACGATGTCTTTGCCCCGATACAAGATCTTCAAGTTACCTTGTATATGATACATGCAATACCCATGATGTGCATTAGGAAAAACTTCAGCAATGCTATTTATTATAGATTGTCCCCGATCGGTGACAAATGTAAGGTCCTGGACTTCTCCGATTACTTCCCTGAACTTTGTGAAGAACCAACGCATCGACATATCATTCTCATTATCAACTATGCCGAATGCAAGAGGGTAAATTTGAATGTTGCATCTTGATATGTAGCAAAAATCAACTTGCCTTGGTATTTGGATTTTAGATTTGTACTGTCGACTAGAAAAGGGGCTGCATAGCGTTTCGAAAACCTCGAATGCATTGTCCAAGAGCCATAAAGAAGAATTTGAAGCAATTATCGGCCTCCGTCTCAATAAAAAATGTCGAGACAGGATTAGTTTTCTCCTTGTTATGGCAATACCTGGCCAATTTAGCATAGCTTTCCTCTGCCGAGCATATTAAATCCTCCAATGTGCATTCTTTGGCTTTCCAGGCCTTCTAGTAACTCATGACTACTCCGTACTCTCAATGAACATCGTTAATGATGTTCGATGGTCTGTAGATTGTCCATGGACCCCGATACTTGTGCATTATGTATCGACCAATAAACCAAGCTCGGGCTTGCCTGTAATCATTGCGACAAACTACCACTTCACAAGTATGTTCTCGTGTATATTTGTGAATTACGAAGTACTCATTCGTGTCCATCTTCGTTGCTCGCAAACACCAACTGTAACTATTATCTACGCATGATAGCATCAACAACGACCTATTCGATTTTTTTCATTCTAAACTCGAAGTTGTATTTCAATGCAATTAGGTGCATGGCTTCTTGCAAATCTTTCTTCATTTCAAACAGTTGCTTGACATACAAATCCTCATTATCAGTAACCACACGTGAGGAGTTGGAGGACGGTCCACTCGATTTAGCCCTCGAGGTCCCACCCCACTCATGTCTCTGTCGGGATAAAGCAATCAAGTCCTCGTTTGTAAAAGTATTCGCATTTTCATTCTTGTTGTCACAAGCAGCGGAGGGGATTCTGTATGCAACAATCGCTTGAATAACCACATCATCTTCATGAACTATCTCCACCGTATCCCAAAAATCATTAGCATTGTGATCCCCACCTCCCGAATCTACTTGTTCATCTTCGACTACATCCTTCCTTACTAAAGTCATGCAAAGAGAAGTCGTGTGCTTATTGTTCAATTTAATCAGATAATTCATTTCATCAACAGCAGAAATCATTATAGGTGGAATCAGAACTGATACATGCTCACTGAATTTAAATTTCAATTCCATGTCGTACTGAGAAGAATCAACAATCAACTTGTTCTGTAAATCATTATAGTGTTCTGCATACGATGTACCTAATGATATGAAAATTGCGATATCAACACTTTTAGCACTTGTCCGTTTCCATACCCATTGATCTCTTTCGTCCAATTCGAAATCACCAAAGTAACAAACTGGGACTACAATCATATCTGCATGTTGAAACAGAATTTTTAATTACAAGAAAAATATCAACAGTAATTAAAATAACCAAAAAAAAGGGAAAAAAGAAAACAGCTGACAAACAGCCGGCTGTTTAAATCGACTGTTAAACAGTCGGCCAAACAGCCAATTTTTTTCTGGCTGTTTAACAGCCGGTCAAACAGTTGTTTCATCAGTCCCAGCATTTATGCAGATGAATTTTTTCTAGTCAAATACTTAAAGATTATAGATCTATTAATTTTTTTTTATCTACTAATCATTAAATGTACAATTTATCGATTTAAACATACAATAGTTTAACGAAAACAAGATTAAATTTGCGTATATAAACTTATCGAACCAACGAGATTGATGTCTTCAAATTTTTTGACTTCCGATTTAGATAAATTTTTTAGTTTCTACTGTTGAATCAAATGAAGGATGAGAGTGTTTTATTTATCTGTGTTGGAATAAAAAGATAAGAAACGTAGGAAGTGTTTGATTTTTATTTGTTAAGTGAAAGGGTATTGATGTCTTTTAAAAAAACCAACTTTGTAATTGTATAATGTATTTAAGGGTATTTTTGTCTTTTGACTTTGGATAGGTCATTTTCATAATATCTCTTTGTTAATAAGTCAATGTGAAATTTAGATGATTTGACCAGGTCAATTTTAAAAGTACCCCCATCCTAATTTTATATATATATATGTATATATTTTTTTTTTTTGGGAAAAATTACATAAAATCAGGTATTTAAATTTTCAAATTTATAATTCAGGGATGAAGAAGCTTTATGCAAAATCAGGTACCCACTACAAAACCTAAATTCCCCATCCTCGTCTCTAATGTCTTCTCCTGGTCACTCTCTCAGTAGCCAGCGCCTCTCTTCTCTCTCAATAGTAGCACCGGCGCCGTGGAAAAGAATCTCTAGCGCGACAGTGTCACCGTCAAACTTGAACCACGCCTCTCTATTTCGATTAGTCGGGGGCGATTTCTTCTATTTTGTTCCATCTTCCTACCCATCCCTCTCTATTTCGGTTGGTCGATTGGCACCTTACAGTGGCCCCACTTGACGCAGCGACATACGGTGAGGCGACGCCGAGGGGTGTGAGCACCGCTTCACTGCTCACAATGGCGATGACGACGGCAATGGGGTTTGCGATTTGTTGTCGTGAACTTTGATATGTTCCAGAACCATAGCCATTTGTGATCTGTAGCCGCAGTCGATGTGGTTGGTCTATGATCTGCCAAAGAGGTGGTGTATTATCTTGTGTGTTGGTTATGGTCCTAGTGGCTATGATCGTTTTCGGCTGTGGTCATGTTGGTGGTGGAGACGTTAGTTATGTGTTGTTGGTGAGTTTGGTGGTGGTGGTCGTGGTGGCTTCTGGTGGTGGTGGAGGTATTCCTTTGGTTTCTGGCGACGGTGGTTGTGTTGGCAGTGGTGATGTGGATGGTGTTGCTGAGGTGTGGGTTGGGTATTGTTGGTGTGTTTGGTGGTGGCAATCGTGGTGGTTCCTGGTGATGGAGATGGTTGGTGGTGGCTGTGGTTGTCCTAATTTTTGTTGGCAGTTGATTTGATTTGGTGTTGGTGGTGTGTGTTAGTTTGTTTTTGCTAGGAGGTGGTTTTCATGGCGGTAGTGGTGGTGGTGGTGTTGGCGATGGTTGTGATGGTGTTGTAGGTGGGATAGTGTTTGTAACCAAGTATTATGGCGGATCGATATTGGGTGTTTGACATTAGTGACCAAGTATTATGGCGGATCGGGATTGGGTGTTTGACATTTGTGAACAACTATTTGGTTCCTTGTGACTATTAATCCGTGACTTTAAAATTCGATAATTTTGCGACTAAAAAAGTAATATGTGACTATCAAATTTAAAATATGTGACCTGTGACTTATACTTTTTGAATTTGTGACCATTTGTAACCTATAATTTTTTTATCGGCGACGTATCAAAATTTTGATTTGCGACCTCAAAAAAATCTATAACCATGATATGTGACCAGTAAACAAATCTGTGACTTATAATTGTGAATTTGTGATCATTAACCATATAACTGTAACTTTGTCATCATTATTTAATAAATATTTTTAATTAATTAGTTAAAACCTAATTTTTGCATTAATGAAACTTGTAACCTGAATTTTGCATCATGCATAGTTAAAACCTGATTTGTGTACTCATTCCCTTTTTTTTATGATGGGAACCGACAACTGCTACCCTTCGAGTACGCACTGAGTAAACCCTCAAGTTGATGCAATAGCCTGCAAATTTTATATTTTAATAGAATAGAATGTTGCCGGATTACATATTTCTAGAATTTATAATATATAAATTACTTGATCAAGTGATGAAATACTAATTTCCGATCAAATTTTAAGAATATGTTTAGCAAGAATTTGACTTTAGAAAGAATTAACTAAAACTAAAAATGGCAAATGTCCCATTCAACGTTTTTAATCACTCGATATCATTATCATTCGAGATGATATTTTGCAAAGGAAATAATTTCTTCGACCATAATATAACATGTTAAATCCTAATTTGCTTTCATTCACCACCACCAATAAAATCTCGATTGATTTTCCATCATTCGATGGAGTACATGAGGATTTAATTTTTAGTTTACCTTATATTTTAAAAAGGGGTTATAACCCGTCTATCATTTAATACCACGTTAACATCACATAAGTTGAAGGATAAATGACATTATTATTTTTAAGGGAAAAATTCATAGTTAAGGTATATTGTTTACACCAATTCAAAAATCAGGTAGATAATTTAAAATTTCAAAATTCAGGTTTATATTTGATTAATTAAAAATTTTATTAAATAAATATAATAAAGTCACAGTTACATGATTAATTGTCACAAATTCATAATTACTGGTCACATATCATCAAATTAATTGGTCACACATTATTTTCAGGTCACAAATCAAAAATTTTATAGGTCATAGATTATTTTCATGTCACAATTCAAAAATTTTATAGGTCACAGATTATCAAATTTTAATGTCACAGACCAAATCGTTGAGGTCACAGATTATTTTTTTGTCACAGATGATCAAATTTTAAGGTCACAAACCAAATTGTTAGTCACATATACCAAATATTACACTCCCGATCCCAATCCACCACCAATACTTGGTCACAAAGCAACCAAATAGTTGGTCACAATCACTATTACACCCCACCCCGTCACAACACCGCCACAACCACCAACAACAACAATCGCCACCATCAGATCCAATCAGCTACTAACAAAAACCACGACAATCGACTCCATCAGCTCTCTAACCACCAACAACCACCTCCACTGCCGCCAAAAACCACCACGATCACCACCACCAAACACACCAACAATACCTAACCTATAATGTTTCCACCGCCAAGAACAACCACAGCCACAGTCAGAACCACCACCAAACCTACCCAACAATACACTACCTTCCAACCTCACCAACACCACCCAAATCATCACTGCCAAGTGCCAACACAAGCACTATTGCTACATCACCACCACCGTTGTCCTCCCCAGATTCGCCCCGCCACAACACCACAACAACCACAACCCCTCAAAATGCAAATTGATCCAGTACACCACCACCATTGCCTGCATCACACCACCACACACCACACAACCATTGTCACCCACAGATCCACCCCGCCACGCCACAACATCACAACAACCACTGCCAACAACAACAACAAAAATGACCACCACTACCATTACCATCTGCCAGCAACACTGTCAACAACAACCATCCCAAAAACCAACAAAAACTAATCGATTAAACCCAACAAAAATTAAGAGAGTCTCATAGATCCACCTACACCACCACATCGAAACCACACCAAATTTCTCCACTCCGCTAACTAGATTAGATCGAAAGGAGAATGAAATCACCCCCAAAATTGCTGTCAGCGGTCGAAAATCCCTAAACCCCTCCCCAAATTT